ATAATTCATATAAATCAATTGGCTATCACTCTTACTTGAGATAAATAAATGAGCACTTTTACATTATCTGTGTTAGTGGCAATGAAAACGTTTCAAGCTTTTAGCGAAACATTTATCGGTATCTCATCCGGTAACAATAACGGGATTGACGTAAAGGACAACGATCATTTTCCTGGTCTTGAACTGTCCGTAGAGTGTATGTGAAGATTGAAGTTTTGTGTAATCCTTGTACTAGAGCAGTAATGATGCCAAAATCCGATTATCTATTTTTAGTTGGATTATATTTTACTTGTGATTTGCTCTTACTTTCCTCCTTTGAGGTGGGATATGATGGTGGATGATGGTGAGTCTCTTCGCATACCTGTAATATGTATAGAAGTCTATCTCGTTGGCCTATAAACTCTTTAATTAATATATAATTGCATTATTCGCTTTATTCGTTGTTCTATTGCTTGATGAAGGAAGGCCATTATATATTTATTTAGAGTTTAAAAATCAACATCTTTATAAAATATTTAAAATAAATTAATTCATCTAAAAGCATAAGTTGAGGTAGTTAATATTTTTATAAATAAATAATATACTAATTACTTAATTGTTTGTCTTTTTACATACATTGTTATCTGCATTAATTGACTAAATGCATCTAAAGCGTCTTAATTTTTTTTTAATTTGAAGATTTTAATTCAAAATGCAGTATTCTCTAACTCTAAGGCTAATAATTTGCAATCGGTCTAGATTGAATGAAACCTGATACTGTACTTCCATAATTTTAAATCTAGACAAGTGTATGCGTACTTACAATATTTACAAAAAAATATTTGCAAGGTTCTCCTCTTGCGATAAACACATTTGGTGGATGATATAAATATTTACACTGAGCGGAATGAGACGCAACCTAGAGAAAAATTACTTGTTATTAACTATATCCATAACTAAACTAAGAGTAAATAAGTAATTACTTTAATATTATAAATGTAAAAGTGTGTTCGTTTGTCCTTCTTTCACATCGAAACGAAAAAAATTACAAGTTGGTGTGATTTTTTGTGTCAAGATAACTGGAGGGCTGGAGGGTGGCATAGGCTACTTTTTACCGCGGGAGATTATCTCATTCCCACGAGAAGATACGTTATAATACAAGCTATAACAACTTATCATACCTATGTATATATTTATATAAAATATATAGTCTTTCAATTACTTGTTAAAACGTACCTAGAGACGAACCCGAGCGAAACGAGGATGAGTCTCACACTAGTCATTAATAAAATATTCTGAATATTTCTTACGTTTACACGAATTTTTGATATTTAAATGAAACTGTTTTTACGATTAATTTTCATTTTAGATTACTATCTCTCTCCCGTGACCTTGTTTGCTTTACTCAGAATCTTCTTCAAGTTTCTTCAACTTTCTTGTTCAAAAATCAAACAGTTAAATTTTTTATTAATTGTCAAAATATTTTAACATAGAGATAAACATGAACTGATATACCTATAGATATTTATAAATATTATAAGTTATATAAAATTTGTGTTATTGATTTATGCTTCTTTTAAAAAAAGGCATATCGGATCGATTTTTGGTCAAAAAGTATCACTTTCGGAGAATACCAGTTACCTATCTATTCATAGTTTTCATAACTAGAGATAGGTATTTGAGATAAAGGACATACAATTTTAATTTAAAGTCAAATTCCTTTTTCAATTAAGATTAATCAGATAGCTTTATTATTGGGATTCATCGCTAGTGAAATGGAAACGAGTTAAAATATAACCTGTGTGAACATTTGTCTATATCAGGGGAAAGCTAAGATCAAATCGCAAAGAATTCGGGTACATTTAGTCGGACTACTATTATAAATAAATATAAATAAGTAAATATAATGGGACATTAACACACAGCACCATCTAGTTCCATGGTAAGCTACAAGGCTTGTGTTATGGATACCAGATAGTTGATACACTACACAAATATAAATTTAAATACACACCTATATATTATAAATATAAACACCCATGACTGGAGTACAAACATTCGTGCTCATCACACAAATGAATGCTAATGAATCCCACTGGGGAGTGGGACTCGAACCCGCGACCGCTGGCACAGCAAGTAGGGTCACTACAAGCTAAACCAAACGTATCGTCAAATGTGAAAGATAGTATGTGTATATATGTATGTTTGTTACTAGTTTACGCTGAAACGGCTTGTCTTATAGTAAAAGGGGCAAACAACCAAACGATACACCTTATGGTAAATGGCTATCGCACAGACTTCTGTAACATAGGGGGAGTTACGAATGCGTTGCCGGTTTTTCAGACCTGAAAACACGACTCTTTAAGAGCCTCATATTATAGCGCTCAGAGAAATCTCAGGCCGAACGGATTTAGATGAAATTTAATACAACGACAGATGACCTGAAGTAACATAGGGTTTGTACGTTCACACTCAGGCCGCGATCGAAGCCAGGGTAAATCGCTAGTTAAAAGCAAAGCTTTTAGTCTTATACAAAGGCAGAACTGACGCGAGGATTATACTTATTGTTTGATGAGCTATTTATATAATGGATACCTACAATGAAAGTGACTTCATAGTAATAGATTTTATTTTACTAGCGTTAGTTACTCATATTATCTTTTAACGTAATATATATTTGTAATAAGTAATATACTTATATATAAGTTCATTTAAATAAGCTCTGTGTAGAGTTTTGAGATATATTGAAAAATTTGCGTTAATATTTATTGAACTATATTTTATAACTAAAACATTTAGATAAGGTAAAATGATGTTGCTATATATTACGTACATACCGGCTGTAGATTCGATTCCTATTCAAAATATTTATGTAAATTATATGGGCATTTAGTATATTCTGAGTGTTCATAAATATCTCATCACTTAAATTGTTTTAAAGTAGTTTTCTTTCATAGAAGAACATTTTAAACCGAATTTAGTACTTACAGAGATTATCTCATCATTTAAACAAACAAACAAAACCTAATCTACTTACTATAATTGCAAAAATCTGTGTGTCTGTTCGTTATTCCTTTACAGTGAAAGGGTCCGACGGATTTGGATATTTAGTACAAGGATTACTATGACCTGCTTACTGTAGGTACCTACACATAAGTACTGTTAGGCACCCAGAGAAGCACACGAATAAAGCAAGGTAAAACGCTAGTATAAGATTAAGACTTTAAAGATTATTTTGTTATATCGATTACCATACTTACAGAAATCCAACTAGCAGTTTAAATACAGCAAAGACTCAAAGAGGGCTGCTTGATGTATACTAAGAAGTATTTCTCCTTCTTGATGGGTATTTTTATAGTTAATCATTATATTTATATGATGTTTTTATTAAAAAAGTATACAATAATCATAACAAAGATTACAAATGAAATATATCAGATTATGCCTTATTCACATATGAATTTTAATAAAATGTAAAACTCGAGTTCAGTCAGACTTTTAACCGGTTTGAAGCTTTATTTTCATAGAAAGACTTTTTAGGCGGAATTTAGTACTTACAATGATCTTATCATTTAAGCAATCAAAACCTAAACTGACTATAATTATAATTGCAAAGGTCTGTGTATCTGTTCGTTAACAAGAGAATTGAATTGAACCTTATAACGTTCGTTAGGCTTTTAATTTTTGTGGTAAGACATGGTGACTCACCACTCAATTCTGCACTAAAATATATGAAGTTAGAAAAATATACTAACCATGAGGGTTTATCAAAAGTCACAAATGTTAATAACATCAAAATTCATTTCTTAATTACAGAACAAATAAAAGAAATATCTAACATTATACTTTGACCGTTCTTGAACTTCATATCAGATGAATGTAACCAGATTTTAAGGTTAGGCATTACATTGTTATAGATAAGAATAATGTAATATTTTATAGTGTAGTTTCATATTACATGTTCCACTTTCGATTCTTATCAGTGTCTGGGTTAGAAACAAATAGAAATGCCATGTTTGAATTAACATAAAGGTATATTTATTCATAGTATGTATCATACATACATATTAATTGTTTTAATAATTTTATATCTCCACTAGCGACTCACCCTTACTCCGCTCGGGTTCGTCCTTAGTTACGTTTCAAGGTTTAGTATATATTTCTCAAAGATTAAATATTTTCCCACAATAAAAAGTATACCCGGATGACCAGCTATCATCTTTTCAAATTTCATCTAAATCTGTCCAGTGGTTTTCTCGTAATGTGTCCCCAGACAGACAAAATTTCTAAAAACTATAGTATAGATTCGGTCTCTGTATCGATAATAATGAATATTTCAATAAGATTTTTCAAATAATATTTAATGTACAGATTCGACTCCGAATTTTATTACATGTGTAGATCAATTTCCAATTATTATTAAGTGTTAGTCTTTTGATCATAATATTTAAGTGTAAATCATTTGATCATAATTATATTTAAGTGTACTTTTACTACCTGCTACATGATATATCGCAAGACCTTGCGATCATTGATATAATTGATCATTGATATGATTGATCATTGATATAAGAACAGAAATAGAACATTGATACAAAAAAATAATTACTTAATTCATAGTTTCTATAAAAAATTATCTTAAAAACTTGTTAGCAAAGAGGTATAATGTAGAGTAGGGTGTATCTATTTTTAAAACACAGTAATTCAAATATCAACCTTCACAATTTATTTATACTCTTAAAGCAAGTGAGATTTATGTAATGATTCATCTATAGGATAGGAAATTAAACCATAAAATATTTTCAATATGATTTTTATTTATACATTTATGTCAGGTAATAAAAATCGTCCGCTGAGCGGAAAGGTACATGGACACATCAATAAATTAACTTATGCTAAATCAGTCTAACAGTCGCGCCGAACGCGGGTCGTCTTAATCTAGTATCACAGATGAGTAGAGCGGTGGGTCGCGAGCGAGAGGCAAGGCGCACCCGTGTGGGGGCGCCGTGTGCGAGGTGTCACTCCTCTGATGCGGAGGAAAGTTGCGTGCTGCCGCCTGAACTGAAAGAGCTTCGGCAGACGCCAGTCTCTGACACGTTTCCCGGACCAGGGACGCTTTCTCCACTCTCTCCGCCATCACCAGGCGTCAGAGTTCTAAGTAAATCTAATGCGGCACGCGCGCGCTGACCATCAGCTGCAGCAGCTGATGCAGCACCCGACGTCCGATCCCACACGCTCTTCTCTGGAAGCAGCATCCTTCGGGCTTCACGCTGTACGCGACGTGAGCGCAGCGCGAACAAAAACGGAGACACGGCTGAAGCAAGCAACAGCAGAGCGAGCGCTGGAGTCCTGGCACCAGCCGCGAGCCCCGGCACCGCGGCTGACACTACAGCGGCCACCGCGTGTGGCACATGCAACATCACTAGCGCACCCGTTAATAGTCCAACTCGGGCTGCACGAGATTCTTCCCTATACCGAAAAAGTGAAGCGTTCGAAATTCTACACCGAATCGAAGTAATCCTGGAACCACTATGTGAGGGTGCAGGATTGCGAGGCTGCAATGCGAGCAATGGCGCCGCAAGGGATGGCGCCGAGCTCACTGCTGGCAAACCTCGTCGAAGGTCCTCATTTGATTTCGCCTCTTTCCGCGCATTCCGTAAACTTGCAACGGAAGGGCATCGCACGGGACGTTCCGGTGGTAAGAGGAAAGGCCCAAATTTCTGATCATTTTCAACAACGTTATCTGAACCATCAATTTTTAATGTGAGACCTTCGCCTTCTTCAATCAGATCTGGCAAATTCACGTGGGGTTCATGAAGTTGTAGAGCGCTGGCTCCATTCGCTCGCGCTCGGAGACCCGACGAGCGCGCCGCGCGGTATATCCGCGAGTACATAAAGCAGACTACTGTCACTGGTGCGACGACGCCGGCTACTAGGTACAGCACGTAATACCCAAGCTCGACTTCCTGGATCACAGACTCGAGCGGGTAGAAGTGGCGAAATACGGCGATAGTGGCGCGTCCAGTGGCTGCGAAGGCGGCGACGAGCCAGGTTGCTGCGCAGAGTGCGGCTGGGCGTCGCTGCAGCAGCCGAGTGTGGCAGCGAAGAGGGTCGGTAACTGCGTGGTGCTGGTCCACCGCGATGAGAGTGACCGCCAACAGAGCTGCCAGGCTGCAGGCAGCGGCAGCCGCGTCACCAGCTTCTATCCACCCAGCTTCCTCAATCGCCGAATGCTCGCCGAAGAGTGCTGGCGCAAGTAAGCAGGTCGTCACCAAATTCGTCGCTAGTAGATTAATAACGAACCTGGAACAAAAGAAAAATATCATAAGTACACATAAAAACTTTAGACGAGCTTGTTCTAGAGGAGGATAATTTTAATGTTGCGAAAAACAAGTCTCTTAAAAGAACTTAGATTTAATTTGACAACATTATAGATAGCAAAACAATGGAGTCAGCCGTCATTTCATGTAGAAATATGTCAATTACTACGTTTACAAACAGTTCATTCAATCAATATACCGAAAATAGCAGCTGTAATAAGTAACGAGAATGCACCACACGACCTTCGCGACCTTTGAGGAGGCGTTAGGACACACCTAAATGTACATAATATTTCGAGGGAAGTCTATATTGCATAACTATTTGATTGTTCTGTTATGTTGTAACTTAGATACCTACTGGGCAACATAAACATTTGACTAAGCGCGGGACTTTCGTAAAGAGCTGCAACGTGACCGAGTTTGCTATTCACGTGCTATTTATTATTCCGGTCTCAATTGTTGCCCTCAAAATAAATGCGTGCAGGTCAGAAAACTATACCTTCATTGAAATTCGATTGTATAACTAAAGCGGAGAATAACAATAGTCTTTATCATGTTCATATGACGGTCAAAAATGTAAAGTTCTTAAAGCGTTAAAGTGGTTAAAAACTTTCTGACACTTGACATTTTTAATAAAAAAAATATTTGGATTTTTCCGGGAGAGTTTCAGACGATAAGGGAAACCCCGAGAACAAAAAACAATAATAAAATCGTGAAAAAAATTGAAAAAATAGTTTTATTTATTGATAAAATTACTAAAGATTATGCTGTATTTATTTTTAATATTAATTATGTCTAATAAGTCTTTAAATAAATGCGTAATATTTTGTATAATGTAATTTAACTTTTTTGTTCTTGATATTTAAAAATAGCGGAAGTCTTGAAGGTGCTTTAAAAATGTATTAGAATTTATTTTATTATATGTTTTCGAAGAAGATATCATTGTAATTTATTAAGTTTTTAAAACATTTTTATATTAAACTTCAAGGGAAGGTTATTCTGAAAACTGAAACAAATAAACATAACCTCCAACGTGAGAATCGACAATGATCTGATTTCTCGATTAGAACAGTATCTATATTACTATATAGTAAACAAAATTGTTTAATCTGTATATGAAATATATTAAAAATAAACTATTGTATGAATGAATAATAAAATAAAAGGAAATATAAAACTACCATTACTACGATAATAGCTAAGTTTAAAATTAAAAAAAAAAACAACCAGCAACTTTAACTATGTATAAATTACACAACACATTTGATGTTTATAAATTGCTACATTATTTAGACTGACAGTTTCTTTCGTTAGTAAAATAATTTTGAATCTCACACTATTATGATAAGAGCGAAAACTTGTATATATGTGTATGTTTCTTACTCCATTAACGGCCGATAGTATTGGATTAAATTTAGTATTCGGATAGACTATGACCTGCAATAACGCACAGGCAAACAACAACAAAGGTTTGGAAAAATGTGGTGCTACCGGTATATACGTATGTATACAAAAAACCCCTAGAGCATGCACCCGAGCGAAACGTGGGTAAGTCAAAATTTAAAATATTGCAACTACTATTCCTTATTATATAGTATAATAGATACTATATAATATATTTCATAAAAATAAACTTTAGTTTCACCTAATTTTGATGATGAAAATTTAATAATTATTCCTAGTACTTTATAGTAACATCGTGTGACATATTAAGATGCATAGCAACACTTTGTTTAGATCTTCCAGATTGTTCCCTATTAGCATATGTAGGATAAACTGCCCTTGTGGCGGATATTATGACATTGCCAACATCAAGACCTTCGATAATATAAGCTTTATTTGAAAAACAAATCGTACATTTAAAATTGCATGTATGCAACGCGCATACATTTCATATATAGGCGGAATCAGACTCGAATAGATGAATAAATGTGTTACCAAGGATGCTGGATTTATTTATATCAAATACTACTTAGAAATATAAGCAAAACAAAATTAGTCTCTTCCTTGATTTTTTGGTCTAAGCACATAATACCACGAGGAACAAAAATAACCTAAAGTAAAGATAATATTTTTTGAAGTGGCAACTGAATAATGTGAGGTCCCTTTTAAAACTATGTCGAGGTTAAACTTATTTTGATGGAGTTATAGAAAAAAAAACATAATTTTCAATATATACAACAATAATAAACTTTATCGAGTAAAAAAAAAATTGAAGCTCTTCACGCATGGCATCAATCACCTAGGTAACTATAAATATCGATATATTATATTTATTTAACAATAAAACGCTTTGAAATCAGTCCAGGATGAAGGTGATCGAATTATTTCACTGTTTTCTTACCTTTGCCATTTTTTTTAAAATAACAACGGAAGTTTATTTTGCAAATATGTTTTTAATTTTTATTTACGGCGTAATAAAATATTAACTAGTCATTGAGTTAAAGTGTGTCAAATGGTCAATGGTTTATTTGAAGATTTCCTCGTATTAAAAGATGTTTATGACGTCTTAAACATAGATCGAAATAGGATCAATGTCGTATTCCTAAATAAATTTCATTTTTTTTAAGTTATACCTACTTCTTTTGGCACGCTTGGAAAAAATTATAAGAGTAAAATTTTTACGATGCGCGAGCACAGCGACAGCCAAAATTCGACATGATGAAGTTAGCTTAAAACGATATGATGAAGTTAGATGCATTCCTTTTACAAACAGAGAGTTGTGACATATGAGATGAAATCATTAGCTATTTTAAATTTTTGTTCTGTTATGCCAAAGAAGTATAACTTCTTACACGCGTACATAAGTACACAGACCTGTTTTTTTATTGTTTTTTTTTTAATATAAGCAATTTTTGCTTTCATCTTAAGAATAAAATAAAAATGGACATACAAATGTTTATTTACAAACATACAAATAACTTTGCGTAGAACGTATGATAAATGAGGCGTATTTATATTTTAATACTATATTCAAGATTAATACGAATATATAACAACAACATTACAAACCTGGGGAAACCCCGGCTAAGTGGAACGAAGTGTACAAATAATATTTTGATTTTAATTGTTTATAACGAGATAATATCACTACTTTATTGTACCATTAGGTACTCTTGAATTTATATATTTTCCACCAAGTTATTTAAGGATTTGATACAATTTGATAATATGTTCTCGGAATCTTAATGTTAATTTTCCCATCATTTGGAAGCATCTTATCACACTCCAGTACAAAGATTAATTAAATACATTAGCATATATTTAAATAAATTGCCTGTGACTCAAACATGGAATGGAATTAGCTGTAATTACATGTTTCTTAGTTGTTAATATTTCCACTAGTAATCTATACATATAATAAAATTGTAACTAAGCCGAATCTGTACATTAAATATTTTTTGGAAAATCTTATTGTAATAGTCATTATTGTCGATACAGAGGCCGAATCTATAGTTTTTTAGAATTTTTGTCTGTCTGTCTGTTTGTAGAACATCACGAGAAAACCAGATTTTGAGATACATATGATGATAGCTGGTCCGGGTCAACATATAGGATACTTTTTACTGCGGGAAAATATCTCATCTCTGAGAAATCTATACTAAACGTTCTAAATATGTAAAGTAGCTAACAACTTACTCTCGCCTCTATATGTCTGTATCTATTTGTATATATCTATCTGTATGTATATCTATCTGTTATTGTAGGTCAAATTTCATCCAAATCCGTCAAGGAGTTACTAGCAAACAAACATACATACATACAAACTTTTATATTTATTAATAATAGTCTATAAATAAAAATTTAATTATTATTTAATATATTATTATAATCACTATCTTTCTCTGCTAATGGAATTACAATTTAAATCAAATCTTTGTACGAACATAAAGAGGTTCTGATAAGCTACTGTGTATTTGTAACTAAATCTTATCAATTTGAATGATCGATATTTTGTATTTAGTACAAATTTTTATTTGACCATAATGTAAAAAGTATGAAAAACTGATTTTTCTAGGTACTTGCTGATTAATTATTAGTCCATAAGTCTAAGTAGGTATAAACTCAATAATTGTTATTTAAATTAAATTAAGGAGTGTATTTGTATTTAATTATTAAATAAATAAATGAAAATTGCTTTTATCAAATATAACTTCAGGAAAATCATCGTTTTTCAAAAAGTACTTAGCCGAAATGTAAAAAAAATGTATCAGAAATAATATTTTTCTAACATCAATCAACCTAATAATAACGATATGTAACTATTATTAATTTCTAAAACAGGAACTTGGTAAAGTATACGAATTATTTGCAATGGATCATTACTGGGAAAATTTTACACCGATGTCTTTGACCGTTCTTTCGCTTAATGTTTTTTTAGAGGTCTCCCTTAATGTGGCTGCAAAGGTTACGTTTGCCGAGGTTGATTTATTTGGATAGTGATTCTAATTATTTTCGCTCACCATTTCCGCCTTGGACTAAAGATTTTGCTTATCTAAAATTAATTTAAATGATTGAATTTTAGAATAATTATACTAAATATTCCATCACTCCTACATAAGTTAAGTTTTTGAAAACAAAATGTAAAGCCTTATCTATCTAATTCTCTGAAATAGCAATGCAACGTGACAATATAATATCGATAAAGCACATGATGCAATGAAGAAATATTTCGTTTCTTTTAAACCCAGTAAAACACAAATGCGAAAGTTTGTGTATGTTTGTTAGTTACACTGTAAGGGCTCAAAGGATTTGAGCTAAATGCGGGATAGGGATAGCTATTATCCTGGAATACATAGACTACTTCTTATCTATTCTTCACTTGAGTGAAGCCACGGGTTAAACTTAGTATAAAAATATTCCTGTAATTAAACTTTTAGTGATGTCTGTTGAATTTTGTTGCCGATTTCTAACCACAACATCAAAAATCGATAAAATATTCGTTCAAAATTGTCTCTATCATTCGAAATAGATTCATAATGA